TCAAACGCCACAACACGCGCTATAAAGTCCGTTTTGGTGGTCGCATTCAGCAGGAAGGTAAAAAAACGCGTTGGATTGAAACCGAAGAGATTCTGGGAGTCGCTTACGATCAGATAATCCCTGGTTACGACACCGACGCGACCAACACGTTGCGTTTGTGGAGTGCGCAAGCCAGTAGCGAAATTAACCTCGGTAAATTCAACCAGGGTGACTACTTCGCGGCAGTGGAAGATAAAAACCACTCCGAGAACGTATCTCGCGTACTGTATCCGGATGACTCCACCTACTCCGGGCGTGAGCTGCGCCTGCGTCAGGAATACTTCCTGGTTTCCTCGACCATTCAGGACATTTTAAGCCGCCATTATCAGTTGCATAAAACCTACGATAACCTGGCGGATAAAATCGCGATTCATCTCAATGATACCCATCCGGTACTGTCGATTCCTGAGATGATGCGTCTGCTGATCGATGAGCACCAATTTAGCTGGGACGACGCGTTTGAGGTGTGTTGTCAGGTCTTCTCCTACACTAACCACACGCTGATGAGCGAGGCGCTGGAAACCTGGCCGGTTGATATGCTGGGTAAAATTCTGCCGCGTCACCTGCAGATCATCTTTGAAATCAACGACTATTTCCTGAAAACCTTGCAGGAACAGTATCCGAACGATACCGATCTGCTGGGACGGGCGTCGATCATTGATGAATCCAACGGTCGTCGTGTGCGTATGGCCTGGCTGGCGGTTGTTGTGAGCCACAAAGTTAACGGTGTATCGGAACTGCACTCTAATCTGATGGTGCAATCGTTGTTTGCCGACTTTGCGAAAATCTTCCCGGGTCGTTTCACCAACGTCACCAACGGTGTGACGCCGCGTCGCTGGCTAGCGGTAGCGAACCCATCGCTTTCAGCCGTGCTGGACGAACACCTGGGCCGTAACTGGCGCACCGACCTTAGCCTGCTTAATGAGCTGCAACAACACTGTGATTTCCCAATGGTTAATCACGCTGTGCATCAGGCGAAGCTGGAGAACAAAAAGCGTCTGGCAGAGTATATCGCCCAGCAGCTGAATGTGGTGGTGAATCCAAAGGCGTTGTTCGATGTACAAATCAAACGTATTCACGAATACAAACGTCAATTGATGAATGTGTTGCATGTGATTACCCGCTATAACCGCATCAAGGCCGACCCGGATGCGAAGTGGGTACCGCGCGTGAATATTTTTGGCGGTAAGGCGGCTTCGGCCTATTACATGGCGAAGCACATTATTCATTTGATCAATGACGTAGCGAAAGTGATCAACAACGATCCGCAGATTGGCGACAAGCTGAAAGTCGTGTTCATCCCGAACTACAGCGTTAGCCTGGCGCAGTTGATCATTCCGGCGGCCGATCTGTCTGAACAGATTTCGCTGGCGGGGACGGAAGCTTCCGGCACCAGTAACATGAAGTTTGCGCTTAACGGTGCGCTTACTATCGGTACGTTGGACGGTGCGAATGTCGAGATGCTGGATCATGTCGGTGCTGACAATATCTTTATCTTTGGTAACACTGCGGAAGAAGTGGAAGAACTGCGTCGTCAGGGCTACAAACCGCGTGAATACTACGAGAAAGATGAGGAGCTGCATCAGGTGCTGACGCAAATCGGCAGCGGTGTATTCAGTCCGGAAGATCCGGGTCGCTATCGCGATCTGGTTGATTCGCTGATCAACTTCGGCGATCACTATCAGGTTCTGGCGGATTATCGCAGCTATGTCGATTGTCAGGATAAAGTCGACGAACTCTACGAGCTTCAGGAAGAGTGGACCGCAAAAGCGATGCTGAACATTGCCAATATGGGCTACTTCTCTTCTGACCGTACTATCAAAGAGTACGCCGATCATATCTGGCATATTGATCCGGTGAGATTGTAATTTCACTAATAAATAGAACGGGGCCAAAGGGTCCCGTTTTTTTCGCCATCATTTCGGAAAAGTGTCCAGAAGGGGCAAGGGGACTCGGGGAGTATAATTTCGCCATTCAGAAAGAATGGAAAGAATAATGCAAAACAGAAAATGGATTTTGACCTCGCTGGTAATGACTTTTTTCGGCATCCCCATTCTGGCGCAGTTTTTGGCGGCGGTTATTGCCATGCTGGGTGTCGGACTTGCCGGTATTATTGAAGTTTGTAATATCTTTATCACGCCAACAATTTACCTTCTGCTCAACATTTTTATGCTGGCGCTGGGCGCATTAATGCTATTTTTCTCGGGGCGAGTGTGGGCGGACGATAGTGCACCAGAAAAAAGAGAAATAGCCGTCTGGCGACAATGTCTTTTTTTAGTACCCGCATTAT